GCAGTTTTTCTGAAACCACGTGCACCATTCAAATTGGCTGCCTTCAACGTTCGCACATTTATGCAGGTCGGACAACAGATAGGGCTGGCTATGTCTTTGGAAAGTCTTAATATTGATGTTGGTTGTCTATCCGAGACCCGTATTCAAGACTCTGGTGAAGTACTACAAATTCGATCTCCATCTGTCGCTTCGAAAAGCTTGTTTTACGTGCGCTTATCCGGGGACCCTGTGGCATCTTCGTCTGGTTTTGCTGGAGTTGGTGTCGCACTAAGCGCTAGAGCTGAGGCAGCACTAGTCGATTGGATCCCCATTAACAGTCGGTTATGTGCTGTTAGATTAGAAAGTTCCATCAAAGTGAGAAGAAATCGGCGTGAGAAACGATGTCTTTTCGTCATCTCCGCCTATGCCCCGACAGATTGCAGCTCGGATGTAATTAAGGATGAGTTTTACCACCAGTTATCTGTTCTTCTCCAGAAAGTGCGTTCGACAGATATTGTAGTACTAGACGGAGACTTGAATGCTCAGGTCGGGCGTCTAGGCACAGAAGAGAGTCGTTTAGGTGGCCGATGGGGACTCGTTGGTCGCAGGTCAGATAACGGGGACCGTCTACTGCAACTTTGCACAGACCACAACCTGTTTCTGGACACCACTAACTTTCGGCACAGTCATCGCCGATGTGCCACCTGGCGTCCTCCCTCTGCATCTCAAGCCTGGACTCAGATTGATCACATCGCGATCAGCTACCGCTGGCGTGGTTGTGTACAAGACTGCCGCTCCTTTTGGAGTACCTATATGGAATCTGATCATGCCTTGGTCTGCGCCAATCTTGCCTTACTTTTCAGTGGCCAACGAAGTGACCACCACCAAAAGATTGATGTTAGCAAGCTGGTTGCAACTTCTGTTGCAAGTAAGTATCGAACCGAGCTAGCCTCTAGGCTAGCTACCACTCCACCGAAAAGTATAGATGAGCATTGGTTGCAATTGCATGACGCCATGAAAATGGCGGGAACAGTCAGTTGTGGGTTGGCGAAACGTCCCGCTTTTAAGCACTGGGTTTCTTCTGGTTCCTTACAACTCATTGAAGCCCGTCGGTCTACTTGGGGTGACCGTGAGTTTGACCATAACCGAAGGATGTTACGTAAGGAAATTGGGCAAAGCTTGCGTAAGGACCGAGAAGCCTGGTGGTCGAAGCGTGCTAATGAGCTGGAAGCAGCAGCTGCATCTGGTAACTACCGGAAGCTCTTCCAGCTCATCCGAGCCACTGGCAGCAAGAAGTCTGGTGTGAGTGAAACAATCTGCGAGGATGATGGGATGCCAATCACTAACATCCATCGACGTCTTGGACGGTGGGCAGAATTTTTCGAAGGACAGTTCAACTGGCCTGCCGCTCCGGCAACATCGGTCAGACTGTCCTGCCCTCCATGGCCGGTGACGACTGATCCACCAAACGAGGAGGAAGTCCGCAAAGAACTCCAACTCTTGAAGCGTTACAAATCACCTGGCCCAGATGACTTACCTCTGGCTCTTTTTAAAGATGGTGGTGACTTTTTGACTAAGGAATTGACGACGTTGTTTACAAAGGTTTGGGTGTTAGAGAGTGTGCCAACGTCATGGAATGAGTCGATAGTTGTCCCTATCTTTAAAAAGGGTTCACGTCGTTCCTGTAACAACTATCGGGGGATAAGTCTACTTCCGATTGCGTCCAAGCTATTGGCTTACGTCATACTTCGTAGGTTGTTCAAAACCCGAGAAAGATTGACTCGCGAGGAGCAGGCTGGGTTTCGTTCCGGTCGAGGAAGTGTTGATCATACCTTCACCCTCCGCCAAATGTTAGAACACCGCCATACTTATCAAAGGCCAACAATCGTAGTGTTTCTTGACATCAGGGCTGCCTTCGATTCGTTGGACAGAACTGTTCTCTGGGATTGTCTATTGAAGAAGGGTGTGCCTGAGAAGTTTAATAACATCCTAAAAGCCCTATATAAAAACACCTCAGGCAGAGTGAGGGCATACAACCACCTTTCTCCATTGTTCCATTCGAGTAGTGGGGTTAGGCAGGGTTGCCCAATCTCACCATTCCTCTTCAACTTTGCCATCGATGACATTCTGGAAACAGCTCTGATGAATGTAAGTAATGGTAGTGTGGATCTGTTGCCTGGAGAAAGACTTCTCGACCTTGAGTATGCGGACGATATTGTCTTACTGTGCGATAGTGCCCAAGGCGTGCAATCCGCACTTGATCAGTTGACAATCAGTGTCCGTAGGTATGGTATGTGCTTTGCACCTTCGAAGTGCAAAGTACTCCTACAAGACTGGCAGGATTCTAATCCTGTACTCACCCTGGATGGTGAGCAGATAAAAGTAGTCGAGAAGTTCGTGTATCTGGGTAGCTGCATAAGTGCTGGTGAGGGTGTGAGTGATGAGATCAATGCACGTATGGTGAAAGCCAGAGCGATTTATGCCAATCTGGGCCACCTTTGGCGCCTTCATGATGTTAGTCTGGCTGTAAAAGGTCGGATCTATAACGCGTCGGTGAGAGCAGTTTTGCTCTATGCTTGTGAAACCTGGTCTCTCCGAGTTGAGAACGTTAGACGACTCTCTGTGTTCGATCATCGCTGTCTCCGAATGATTGCTGACATTCAGTGGCAACACCATGTCAGTAATGCAGAGGTTCGGCATCGTGTGTTTGGGCACAGAGATGATAATTCAATTGGTGTCACCTTGAAACATCGACTTCGGTGGCTTGAACATGTTCTACGAATGTCGTCCCAGAGAATTCCACGTCGTGCATTATTTGCCGACTCTGGGACTGGTTGGAAGAAGCGGAGAGGTGGTCAGTGCATGACATGGTGTCGGGGTATGAAAGAAATCTGCAAAGGACTGGCTTCTGATGGTCGTTCACGACTCCCTGGTTAGGGTCAGAGAGATGGTGCGACACAGTGGCTAGAGTCGTTATCAGATATGGCTCAGAATAGAAGCCAGTGGCGATCCTGCTGTAACCTTCTTTTACTTTCTTCATAAAAAGTGGTTCTGTCTCCCTTACCTGAAAGATTTATTCCGATTGTACCTTTGCGTTCCCTGATTACTAGCACATTAACTTACACCAATCTCTTCGTTATTGTTCTCTCTTTTTTTTGTTGCGCTCCTTAGCTTTTTTTTTCTTTCTTTGTATTCCTCTCGAATTTTCATTGTTTTGTGTGGCGCATATATATTGGCGCTCTCTTGTACCAATATTCATGTGTCCAAATAAATAAATAAATATCTGTCTCCATTTCTCAGCGTAATGTGTTCTTTGATCTTCCTCTTTTCCTTTATTTAGCCTTGAGGATTACGTGTGAGGGCTTGCCTTGTGACGCAGTTCGGTGCTATCCCCGAAGTATATCTTATCCACTTCCAACGCTTCTTCCTGATTACTTCCTCCACTGGGATCTGGTTTATTCCCTCTCACAGTAGGTTGTTGCTAACAGTGTCCAACCAACGGATCCGAAGTATTCTGCGTAGACAACTGTTAATAAAGACTTATATCATGTGGATGATGGCTTTCGTAGTTCTCCAGGTTTCCGCCCCATACAGTGGAACTGTTTTGAATTTGTAGTGAAAATCCTGACCTAAGTGTCGATTGACAGATAGTTGTTTTGAGTTCCAGATGTTTTTCAGTTGTAAATATGCTGCTCTTGTTTTGCCGATCCGTGCCTTCACATCTGCATCGGATCCATTGTGTTCATCAATGATGTTGCCCAAATATGTGAAGGTGTTTACATCTTCCAAATCTTCTCCATCAATTGTGATTGGATTGGTGCATGCTGTGTTGTATCGGAGATTCTGGCTTTTCCATTTGTATATATTGAGACCTACTGCTGTTGAGGCTGCTGCTACACTGGTCGTTTTATCCTGCATTTGTTGTTGCGTTTGCGATAGGAAAGCCAGATCATCTGCGAAGTCTAGATCATCCAACTCCATCCTAGATGCCAGTGGCCATCCTGCTGTAATCTTCTTTCACTTCATAAAAAATGTGGTTGTAACTTCCTTAACTGAAGGAATTCTTCTGATTGTACCTTTCCGTTTCCCATATTATTATTATTACACTACCTTATACTGATCTGTGTTCGCTATTGTTCTCTTTTTTTCTTATACGCTCCTTATCTTCTTTTCTCTCATCCCATTCTCATTGTTTTGTGTGGCGCATATATATTGGGTGCCCCCTTGCACCAATATTTATGTGTTCAAATAAATAAATAGATAAAAACAGTTGAGATCACAAGACATTTAGTTAGACATTAACAACGTTAGATGCCATCCGGCTCAGTGGCTTAATGGTTAAGCGCTAACACGCGAAACTGGTAGGTCCTAGGTTCGAATCTCGCAAGGTGGAATCGTGGATGCGCAGTGCTGAGGAGCCCCACAGTGGGACGAAACGACTATCCAGTGCTTCCATGTTTTCCATGGTGCGCTAGCTTCAATTGACTTATGATATCAACTATTAAAATTAGAAATTGTTCTATTATTATTGATAACTTATTACATATTTTTTACTATCTTACATAATTAGTTGATGGAAGTCGTTGAGAAATTCTGAACTTAATTTCATAGCTAGTTGACACGAAACATACCTACAATATTGAAGGAAATGATGCTTCCCGTGGAAGTTGAACTTGAAATAACTTAGCTGTTTTTCAGTCTGTAACATTACCAGTGGGCTATTCGAAGATCAATTAAAATGTTTACACAGATTGATCATTGATTAGCAAGCAATATCATACTAGGACGAAACGGCCATCCAGTGCTCCCAGGTTTTCCATGGTGATCTAGTTTCAACTGACTCATGATTTCAATCTGTGAAATATCATATTTATTTAATTCGTCAGTGTTGATCGAATTTTATCGATCATATCTTTGTTGTTCCGAGCTGTAAACTACGCGTTCTATGTACGGACAAAACATTCTTACCGATTTGATTATACACCCAAAGATTTACATATATATTTATATGGAATACTCACACGTAATTCAATTTGTTCTTCTCGTTCTTGACTACGCATTGTCATGTATTCTTTCGCTAATCTATAATTATAAATGGACAAATTACTTAGTTAATATTATGAGGAAAATAAACAGAATAAATGAAGAATAATCGAATAAGAGGTAGATTTTTATAACAATAAAACATATGATAGTATTTAATGAATAAGATTATTATATATATTTTGTATGCAGATTGACGAATTTAGAGTTTATACAATAATTGTAGCCTAATATGATTAATAGATTGGTTAATATAACTTGAAATCAATCGCTATAACGTAGATACATTTACATTTTCTATAATTAAACATTTTGAAATTATGTTGATGAGACTAGAATTTATGGAAGAATTAATCAGGTATAAGATAACAGGTCTCGGATTTTGGCACGAAAGTCACTTATCTATTTGGTTGAATAGAGTTTTGGCATTATAGTTGATATCAGTTAGTGATGAAAACTGTAAATCGATTTCCTAACCCTGACTATCAACTGTAAATCATAATGCTTGTTTATAACCATAATTTGATCCTAGTTATTAGGTGGATATTCTAAAGGTCACCTTAGTGTTGCTCAGAGATCGTCCATAAATTATAGTCACATCATTATGTTATACAATTGATTCTTTGAATTCGTTATTTCTTTGTGAGTCAGTTAATATATATGTATGTGTATATGTCAAGTGATTTTTTATTATCAATGATAATTTATTATTATCACTATTCTATCATCCTGAACGAGTGATTTATGATCTCACACAAAACTCAACAATCTCCACAACCCTATACTGATAATTATCATATGCTCACTAGTGACCAGCTTCGAGAGGTAAATCTCGAAGTTCTAGCGAGAAGCCATGACCAGTGGAGTACAATCCGTGTCAGATGTGAGGTGCGTACTTGTAGAAGCACGTACATACGAAGGATTGAAAGGAGAGTATTAACAACGTTTGCGGAACGAATTCTTCGTAAACAAGAAAAGTATTAAACATCAATGGCCAAAGTTACTTTTCTACACTTAGTGAATAATTATTCACGTCAAGAAACTATTCTTAAACCGTCAAGTAAAATAACCGAACGGAAAATATATAAAAATTTATGTATGGTACAAGGAAGAATATACTAGAACCTGAAAAGAAAACGTGTAAAATATAGCGATTGTTTCATCATACGGAACTTACTTTTTCATCTTTTTTGTATTCAATTTAAGCGAACAAGCATTTTCAAATATAGTATTCGAATGTTTATCCCACGCTAATGGTCCTTCATGTTGAAGGAACTGGAAAATAAAAAGATATACATAGAAAACAATTTAGTGTGATCCAAATAATTGCCTGTTACTTGAAGAAAAAAGCTTGGAAAAACAATAAACAAAACATTTGTAGAATAGATAGATTTTGAACTAGCCCCCAAATGCCCTGGTACGGCCGAGAGTGGGGAGAGTCCGCTCTCCCTCTCGAAATGCTCTCACATGGCCATGCGTATATAGCCTCTCCCAGGGAAGTCCTACTCACTGCCTTCTCGTGGCATTACTGTTGTTTACGAAAACGAGAGGACGAACAGCGAATGTCCGGCACTTTAACCGGATTCCAAACCAATGGTGCACATGGGCTCCAGTATCCTGCGGGAACAAATGGCGTACGAACCAATCGTTGGTCACCGGCTACCATGAGACTGCATCTCCTGACAATGCTCCACTGCCTTGTGGATCAGACCTTTAGGTTGAAGGCTCAGAGTGTGGCCCACTAAGTAAACCACCTGCTTCGGTTTGGGCACCCGGGTAGTATCACAGCCCTCACACATATCGAATGAGATTTGTGTGGTGCATATGTATTTGGTGCCACTTTGTACCAATATCTATGTGTTGAAATAAATAAATAATAAAAAGTAGTAGAATCCAAGACGTATGTTTGGTCCTATTCGGGATTTTTTAACCAGATGTACCGACCAATCCTGGAGTTGATATTGATATCAAGATATGAAACCAGCAGCTTACACTACAAGCACCAAGGTGTTATGTCTGGTACTATGTCAGTTTATTTATTTGAACAGATAAATATTAGTTCAAGGGGGCACCGAATACATATGCACCACGCAAGTCGCTTTATTTGTGTGAGGGTTGGGATACTGTCCAGGTGCCCAAACCGAAGCAGGTGGTTTTCTTAAGGGGAGCCTTCAACTTAAAGGTCTCATCCACGAGGCAGTGGAGCATTGTCAGGAGATGCAGTCTCATGGTAGCCGGTGACCAACGATTGGTTCGTACGCCATTTGTTCCCGCAGGATACTGGAGCCCATGTGCACCATTGGTTTGGAATCACGGTTCTCCAACTTCTCTAGGTGAACTGTCCATATCCACCTACCCGGTTAAAGCGCCGGACATTCACTTTTTGTCCTCTCAATTTCGTAAACAACAGTAGTGCCGTGAGGCAGTGAGTAGGCCTTCCCTGACAGTGGCTGTATACGCGCGACCATATGAAAGCATTTTGAGAAGAAAAGCTAACTCTCCCCACTCTCGGTTACATTGGGGGATTTGGGGACGAGCTCACATGAGTTATTCTAGTTTCCAGACAAACCGACGTATTCATTTATTTTATGTCGTACTTTGATCTTGTGAACTATAGGCTTATTAGTCTTGACGTTTTTCATATGAGCGTGTGTGTACATCGCTTAGCTTTAGTGGTGCTTAAAACAACTTTCAGCTACTAATTTGCTGATTTATTCGCTTTTGTATGGACACTATCTTGTACAAATAAACTGAGTCATGAAGCTGAGGAGACTAATATGTACCAGGTAAACAACGTTAATAGACGAAAAATACCGAAAAAAACTTACTGCAACCATTGACTCCATATCACATCTTAACAAATTGTCTGCAGAAAATTTCAATATTGATAAAGCCAATTTAAATATGAATTGAAGTCCCTGAAATGTTAAATGTAAAAAGAAATAACGAATGATAAATAATGAGACTATATTGTTCCTAACTGAGATCTGTCAATCAAAGGACCAATTTTTTTAAATATTATTTAAGTTAGTGTTTTCGGTGGCGAACATTGAGATAGAAATGTTGAAGTTAATTGTAAGATACTCGGTAAAGATGGTAAATTGGTTGAAACTGTATCAGTTGAGATAGCTGATATATATGTTATGTACAGCCAGGAACAGGTGGGCAGAAAGATAGAGGTGGTATTAGTCCAGTTGTCACTGAGTATTGGACTGAGCTTTATCGGTAGTTGTACATTACTTGATTAAGGTCTGTATGGTTAACATGCCCAATGGCTGAAAACGTTGAGTGAAATAGGTTATTATCAATCGCAATAGCTTAGTTCCAGCTACTCATTGTCAACCCTTAGATCCTCCTGAGTATTAGGACTATTTCGGACATCTTACTTCGCCAATATATTCTTGCTTATTGATTCACATTCGCTCGGATCACTATCATCACTGGGACTATTACTACTCTGATATTCATGTTTTTAGTTCCAACTTGTTGTGTTAGTGCAAATATGACAATTAGAATTAATGCACATATTTTTGCAAGTTCTAAGTAGCTTGTAGATTCAATTATGTTTTTGTGTTAATTATTATGCATTGAATAGTTGAATTCAATAGTTGTATGGCTAATGTTCAGTTTGAATAATATCACAGACTGAATATGACACTTTTGAGCATTTATTCACTGTAAGCTTGTATATTGTAAAAGAAAAATAATCAACTTAGATAAATTCAAGATTAAAGGGATAATAAAACTGGGGAAAAAATACATTCACTGACTGAATACTTCAGTATGTAAATTTTTGACAGATTATAAGCAATAAGATTAGCAATCAAAGACAATCAGTCAGTCAGCTACAACGTAGGACCAGGCACATATGTGCATCGGTTCAAGTTGCCATACCTCACTAGCACAACAAGATGAACACTGAATTCATAGAAGTAGTTAATTCAGTGGTGTTAATGTATAAAAGTAAATTCAATAAACATTGCTCTACATAATCGTTAATCAGCGGTGTATTTTGATAGAGAAAAATTAAACATAGATTGAAACTTCTAATTAACTGTAAGTCAGTTATATGGATAATTCATTAGTCATTATTTTGATGTACTATGGTGGCTAAAGTTTAGAAAAAAAATATATGGATGACCAAAATAAAACATGGCACTTGACTATCAGGGTTACTGACTGTTGTTGATCTGAGGCAAGTGAAAAAGTATAGATTACTTAAATTAATCAGTGTTGCTATATATCATATGTGGAATATGACTGCAGAAAAATTGAAGAAGTTTCTTACACCTAATTTCCTATATATTCCACGTTTCAAATTTTGTTATCATTGATTTTGATGAACTCTTTTGATGTCTGTGCTACTAAAAAGTGTGATGACATTCAATGATTGATTATAACGATAATATGGATTTGAATACATTGAAAAGACTGTACGAAATTGTTCGAACATCATTAAGTAACTGAATGACAATAAATTGAATTAATCAATAACACATACAAAAAAGGAAATCAATCTAAATAACTCAGTTTATGCGATGGTGGAGATTTGTAGCTCAAGTGGATTTTGGAGTTTTGTTCTTTGAACTGCTGGTCAGCGGCCTATGCTCCATTGGGAGTAACAGGCGTAAGTAAGTAAGTTCTTTGAACTGAATGGTTTGGTCATGAAGCTTTCATTGTTCTTCTGAAGTTTGTGTTGATGATGCCGTTCAGACGAATGATGAAAGCTTCATCACCAAACCATCCAGCGCTCAGAGAACAAAACTCCACCAAAATTCAGTTTATTAATCATATGATATTTAAGGGTATACGGAATAACATAGTGTTATATAGGAGGTGGTCAGTGTATGATATGATGTCGTGTTATGAAAGAAGGTTGCAAAGGGCTGGCTTCTGTTGGTCATTCACAACTCCCTGGTTGGGGTCCGAGAGATGGTGCAACACAGTGGCTAGAAACGTTATCAGATATAGCTCAGAATATGAATCAGTGGCGATCCTGCTGTAACCTTCTTTTACTTCCTTCATAAAAAAGTGGTTTTAACTTCCTTAACTGAAAGAATTCCTTCTGGTTGTACCTTTCCGTTCCCCCTCCTATTATTACTATACTACCATACATTAATCTGTGGTTGTTATTGTTCTCTTTTTCTCTTTTCTTCTCTCCTATACACACCTTACATTCTTTTTCTCTTCCCATTCTCATTACTGTTGTGTGGCACATATATATCTGGTGCCCCTTGTACTAATATTTATGTGTTCAAATAAATAAAAAAAAATAGTGTTGTATAGTGTTTTTCATCAAATGAATCGTGTAATTAACAATGAAAAAGAATTTAATTCAATGCTCCTCTTTTTATCCAGGAAATTGAATACAAATTATAATGTTATAGAAAAACACTAATTATAAATGGATGGAGAGTGTTGATGGGCAGCCTATGCTCCTCCACAAGGAGTAATTATAAATACTATGAGTATTGCATAGATTATATTAAAAGGTATAATGACTATCTTTACATTGAAATATTCTACTGAATAAAACAAGAATTAAGTACACGTGAATCGTAACTAAAAAAAATGATGTTGTGAATGATTGTCAAAGTAACAACACCTTATAATAGAGAATAAACATTATAACAAAAAAAGGGGGAACTATTTACATGAATCATCTATGAAATAAACAATAAAGAGATTTTGACATTAAACTATTATAATTAGTTTAGTTTCTCAAACTTCCGCAATTGATCATGTGAATTAATCACAGATCTGGTTGAACTATAAACAAAACAGAAGTAAAAAGCAACAAAATACGACCAGTTTGAATTGTTGTTACTATAGAATGAAGCAATTCATATATAAAATACATAAGAATTTTTAAGAGAAGAATAATTTACTTTAATGGAGAAAGAAAAAAACACGGTAACGTTGTTGGTATTATATCATAACAGTGATCACAGTGATTTTCAAACCAAGTTCTAAACTTCTACTATCAATCAACAATGTTTGAAAATCGAATGAAATCAGAAAGTGAGAATAAGATTAATGGTGTTTCTCAGTATTAGATTCAGTGTAGATATCAAGGCATAAAATTTAACAATCTTAAAAACTTTAATTTTAATAGTTGAGAACATGAGTCAATTGAAGTTAGACCACCATGGAAAACCTGGAAGTACTGGACAGCCGTTTCGTCCTTGTGTGGGACTCCTCAGCAATGAGCATCCTCCATCCCACTCCGCGAGATTCGAACCCAGGACCTATCAGTCCTACAGTAGGACGAAACGGCTATCCAGTGCTTCCATGTTTTCCATGGTGGTCTAGCTTTAATTGACTCATGATCTCAACCATTGAAATTACTATAACATCCACAAAACCTCTTCTGATATTAATGTTAACAACCCTATGCCGATAATTATTATACGCTACAAAAGGAGGTTTCCATAGTTCTATTGAGAATGTATCATCAATGATAGTGATTGAAATCTTAAAACAAGATTCTGAGATAATCTCAGTATGAAAGAATACTGAAACTAAAAATCTAGAGGAAGGTAAAGGAGCAATTGAATCAGTGTCACTAAGGCCAAAATCTATCATCATCGATCGCGGACCTCACCCAAATAATCCTCATTGAATCGACAACATTGTCTTTATCGTATTTACTTTAGATAGATGCTGTTCACCGTTCCCTGATTTTCTTGCGTTGTTATTAGCTTATTTTCGCAACATAGTAATAATAATAATAATAATAAAAGCGTACAAAAACTAAATATTTCATACATGAGTAAAATCATACAAGATTGTGAATTCGCGATCCATTTAGAATTCTAAATAAGAATCGGAAAGTCCTTCTTATAAACCCATAAACATTGGCACTATTTAAATTATGAGAATGATCAAGTATTTGCCAATATTTATGAAAAGAAATATGTGTTTTGTTTGGTTCCAACTAACTTAAAAAATTATAACACACTTCTCGATACACTAAAAGTATAAAAAGACTACTTCAATGGATAAATAACTATAGGTCAAGAATGGGTTATGAAACATGAAGATATAGATGGCACAGATAATGATCAATAGACCGATAGGACATATGTTAAGAATAGATTATTTGAAGTCAATTAATTAAGTACAATGTTAACAATTCAATTATTGTGTCGATCTAAGCTACACAACCATTGAGAACATAGAAGCTATGGACGGCCGTTTCGTCCCAACATGAGACTCCTCATCAGTCCGCGTCCACGGTCTCGCACGTAGGAGTTTGGCACCTGCGACATAAATTAAAGGATTCTATATGTATACCTTTAGAGTTCATTGAAGTTCTCTATTTATATCGTACTTACTTACAACTTTTAACCCTCGTGGACGAACATAAGCCGCCCATCAGCATTCTCCATCTAACTCTGTCCTGGAAAATCCTTTCCAGTTGCTATCCATCCTTTTCATGTTGGCTTCCGATTCCCGACGCAGTGTGTTCTTCGACCTTCTTCTTTCCCGTTTCCCTTCAGGATTCCAAGTTAGCGCTTGCTTCGTGATGCAGTTTGGTGATTTATGTAATGTATGTTCTATCCACCAATTCCATTGTGTTTTCCTAATTCTCTATTCAGTCGGAAGCTGATTTGTTATCTCCCACAGTAGGCTGTTACTGATGTTATCCGGACAACGGATCTAGTAAATTTTGCGTAGACACCTGTTTATAAATATTCTTACTTTTTTGATGGTGGTTTTGGTAGTTCTTCAAGTTTCAACTCCGTACGGTAGAACTGTTTTGACGTTCGTATTGAACATTCTGATATTGGCTGACATTTATTTTGAGTTCCAAATGTTCTTCAATTGTAGGGATGTTGAACCTTCTTTGCTAATCCTTACCTTTACGTCTGCATCAAATCCTCCTTGTTCATCGATGATGCTAATTGACTAAAAGTTGGGTGATTTTCATATTAAACCACCTCTAGTGTAAATATCTCAGTTGACATTTTTAAAAAAAAATGAAATCAGATTTCTACCGAGACTATCTTGTCTACAATGTCAGTATTTAAAATTCTCTCCAGCTTATCACAATCATCTGTTATATACATATCGTACATAGATCGTTCATATTATGAAGACCTATTAATACTCTATTCTAACCAATAACCTAATTATAACCAAAGTAAGTAAGTAAGTAAGTAAGTAAACCAAAGGATCTACTATCAGGATATTTATAGTAATTTTAATCGATTACCACCTATCACCATTAGATTACGCTTTCTTAACTATTCAAAGAAGGAAGAAAAAAAAGACCAAGATTGACTATCATCAATTAGAATTACAAAACTATTTATAACCCAAGATATCATTAAAGTTTTTAATTATTCCATAGAATTTTAATAGAGCAAAATAGTTCAGTCAATTATCTAATTATTTTGGTTAATTACAACATACAAGTCAATCAATCAGAAGTTAGTGAGTTATTAATAATTCTTGGCGTAAAGATTAAGTAATTAGTATTATATTTATAATATAGTATAATATTAATAATATTTCTTCCATTATTGAATGATAGACTTGTTATTAAGAAAAGAAACATTAAAAAATGAAAGAAAAAACAACACAAAGAGTTGACTACTAATTGATGAACATCGGATTCATAGAAGCAGTTACTTCAATGGTAGTAATATATAAAAGATTGCATATAAGGATATAGTACAGGAAGAAAGAAGGAAAGATATAAGGCTATTTTAATCTCATATTTTAAGGGAAGACAGAGAGTGTATACACCTCAACCATGTCAATCAGAGTCTAACCTCACTATTACTTACCCGATGATCCCTTCCCTATAAAATCGGTAAGGATAAGATATAAAGCTGAACCTATGGCTATTACATCAATTTGCCTATAATAAGTGTTATGAAAGAGACATCACACTACTGTCAGTACAAGGAAAGGTTTTCGACAGTGTTGCTGAACCGAATAAAACACGTAGTAGACGCCCAACTTCCAGATCAACAGGCTCAATTCCGTAAGGATCGGTCGTGCACAGACCAAATTGCGACAATACGGATCATCCATCGTCGAACAATCAGTTGAATGGAACTCGTCACTATATATCAACCTCATTGACTATGAAAAGGCATTTGACAGTGTGGATAGGGGAACAGTATGGAAACTTCTTCGACACTATGGAGTTCCTGAGAAGATTGTCAACAAGACAGCATGTTCTTCTGACGTGAGTCCCGTGTATCTTTAAAATGACTATTGATATTTTATATTACTATGTATCTTTGAATAACCTTGCATTACATTTTCCTTTAAAAATTCCTAAACATTTGTTACTATCATGCACTAACAAAGTCTAGTTCATATCTGAAGGTGAATACTTCCGTTAGATCGACGGGGTTGCTATGGGTAGTCCGTTAGGACCATTATTAGCACGTGTTGAAAACTTGGCTGCAGACCTAATCGTAAACATGTCTCTTTATAAGGCATGTAGGATGACGTCTTAGCTATCTATAGAAGAAATGACGATATGAATTGTTGATTGAATAAACTTAGAGCTTTTCAAATCCACATACGTCTTTCATGTGAAAAGGAGGAAAAAAGACTAGTTTCCTTTCATAGACATGCTTACAAGTAGAAAAGATGGTTCAGTCAAACGACCCATTTTTTAGAAAGTCAACTTGGACAGGTAAGTACCCTAGTTATAATAGTTATTGCTCAATTCATTACACACGGGCCTTGATAAGGTGACTATTTTACAGAATTGATCGTATTTGCACAAATGACACTACTGATAACGAAGTAATGTTGTTTTACATGTGACCACATTGTTCGGAATGTATTGCGCTAATATATCACATAGTTTTGATAGTCTTTGTTTTAATCTAATTTTATCACCAAAAGAGTTACTGTTATTACGCCATTTCAACACGCAACATTCCATTCGTAAATAGTCAGTCTATTTCATGAACCTAACACGGACACAATAAATACAAAGATAATTACATGTTTATAAAAACAATATTATGTAATAGGGTATATAAATACATAGCTAACTTTAAGTTACATTCTAATGTTGAATAGTTGTAACTGATAAAAGGTAATACAATTTTACAATGAGTGAAATTCTACACTCATATAATTTAGTGAGTCAACAACAGAGTACATACATATACACACATTTTACAAACAAATCGAAAATAATACTGATAACTTGGAATAAAACAGTAAAAGATATTCAGATCTAGTTCACTCAGAAATAAACCTAGAGTTCGTATAGGATAAGTAGAATGTATTGAAGGCATTCATTAAGAAGCTTAGTACCTGACCTTTGGGCTAGTGGATGCCCTTTAATAAGATGTATCAGTAACATCCAGAAAACTGATTTACCCTATGAGATTTAAACTCGAACCAACCAGTATCATAGTCAGAAATATTACGACTGAGCTGCTTGGGTCGCGACTGTCCACTTGTAGGAAAGATCATAGAGCAGTAATCAATGTAACATTAGTCTAATTTTTCGAACTGGTCAAACTCTATCGGTCAGGTTACACTAAAGCCATTGCTGTACGTAACTCAAAACCTAATTTAATACCTTCTCTGTGACTGCCTCCAAAATTATGTAACGTTAAACAACATGTATAAAACTCTCCAATAATTAACATTAGTATTGCTCCATTGCACATCTACCAACAGAATTCAATCGACACTTAAAAGCAATCTTGTAGATTTAGGAAGGGGATCAAAGTGCCCGATGAACAACTGGAAAAACACGGCCCTTTGGGGAACAACGTTTTATATGTTGGCTCGATACTTTCAAGGCCTCACCACCCACAACCGGAATCTATGGGGTAATGTAAAATGTGCTGTTTCTGGTGTTGACTTTTTCTACCCCTCATTTTTGTTTTGGGAAGAAAACATCGATTCAGACGCTCCTTGTCTGACGGAAACACCAAACTGCCGTCACACCCATATACAGTCAACAGCATGACTTCTTCATATGACCTCAAGTTGTTGTGTTTGGTCTTAACATTACTGAACCGACCTGGTTGGAATGCTAGGATCTAAAGAAACAAATATTTAAGCCAGGTATAGATCGGCTGGGTTACCCAAGACTGAAAGTCAATTCGAGGTAGTAATTACGGTCGGAAATGCAAATCATGTACAATAAGGAAGTTTATTTAAGAAAATAAAAGCATACCTCAACAATATAAAAATCCATAACACGTGTAGCACATGGTATAGGTAGAATAGTAGAGAACAATGTCAAAAACCATGCTGATGCATATAAACTTGGTGCAAATGATTGTGTACGAAAATGCGTATACAATTCGGGTAAATTATCAGCAATTAATTGTTCTAACTGGTACATACAAACGCCAAGTTCCATCATAGATGGTTTATACATTTCACGAAGTCGATAATCATTCATTAATTGAACAAGTACAGCGAATGCATTAAGTTCAGGCATCTGAAGTATCAAACAAAAGAAAGTCAAACAATGAATAGTCATGTTTCTACAAACAAAATTGGAAAGTAAAATGGAAAACTATTACTAGGTTGCGTCAATCAACTACATATGATGTGGTATAAATATGTAACAGTCTAAATCGCTAAACTTTCGATCAGGACATTAAAAGGAAATTGATTTGATGAAAACCAAAGGAACTAAATAACATGTATCAATCGTAATAAAATAAAACATGGAGAAGAAAGATGAAACACATATGGGGAAATTCGAACACTTCACTTCTATCTGAAGTTTGTGCTGATGATGTCGTTCAGAAGAACGATGAAAGCTCCACGACAAAACCATCCAGCTCAGAGAACAAAACTCCACCAAAAAAGATGAAACACAATGCAATCCACATCCGTGGGACTGAAACTGATTTTAAAGCCAATTGCCTAAATAATGATTATAATTTGTACTTCATGATACATTTCATAAAATTGGTCAAACAGTTCATGAGCTGAAATGATGTTATGATTTAACAACCTGAATTTGCTATTAACTTACTCTAACATTAGTCAAAAATAATGTGTAAGTTGGACAGTGACAAGGTTTATAAGTAATACATGTTCCAGACAACTTAATCAACTAAGTTTCAAGTTCTCATCAACCCGTTTATTATATATTCCTAATACCTTATGCTGCATAACAGCTTTAATATTTCGGTAATCTTATAGCCACAGATTAATATTAATATTCAGTAGATTATCTCTTTATAAAGTTCGTCACAGATTGTGTTAGTTACATAAAACCAAGTAAGATTTCCGCATCATACCCCAGATCGGATTACAGGTGGTCTTAGTGACCTGAGAGCGTGACCGCAGTGCCCAAGGGAAAACTGCTTGAGGTCGGTCACACACGACCTTTTATGGGTAATTTTTGTGTTAGCTCCGTACTTGTTGAGACCTTACCACCGGAGACGGATACCCGTGGGATAAGGCGAGGTGTGCATTTTTAGGGTCGACCTATTCTAACCCCACCCCTCCTTGTGGGAAGGCAGCATCGCTGTCATGATGGTTGTCTGAAGGAAACACCTTACTGCTGTCACACCTCTGTACAGTCAGCAGTACGACTTCGCCTTCGGACCTTGGGTTTGTTGCTTTTAGTCTTACCGCTCTTCAACCGACCTGTCTGACATGGTAGGACCTTGAGGAACGGTTGTTCCAGCCAGTATAGCTCGGTTGCTTCATCACGATAGGCAAGCTCGACCACCACGTCAAGGTAGCAACAACGGTCGGGCATCATACCCCAGATCAAAGCATATCTGATGTGAGCATAGAAACAAAGAAACCATGACAAAAAACGGAAGCTAGTTTTGGGGCCGTTATTTCCCTTAATTCAATACTAACATTTAGCTTTGACCCTGGTTATTTCTATAAACCGTAAACTTTCGTTTGATGGATGATTCAATGTCAAACTCTTTTCTATTCCAAAGTAATTGTAATTTAAACATGATGTTTTTACTTCATTTTCCCACCCTAATGGTTAGTTTGGACATAATTGTATTTTCCCGATTGTTTGTGCGTTGTGGTCTTGTTATTCAACTATTTATTCATGCATCTTTTTATATTAATTCGAATCAGAGATCAATCAAGTAGTGTTCCAGTTGACTCGTCTAGTATGATGTTCAATTATATATTAGGCAATAAGTCTGTTTACTTTCGATAATGTAATAAGAAGACGAAGATTATCAGAACTATGTGATGATATATTAGCCCAATACATTTCGAACAATCTAATCATACATATACTTGTTAAGAACATTTATATATAAAAATAAAAGGTCAACTAGACTGGAAATGGGGTAAGAGGAGACAAGGATAATAATAATAATAAGAGTAATAATAATGATGTGGAAACAATTTGAAACCTAATCACTTTGGATAATAAGCCAAGATCACTAGGGTAAGTTTAAAGTGAGAACAAACTGTTTTTGAATACACAAAGGGAGTTTGAATTTTTGTATTATCAAAGAAAGAACAAGGTGCATGCTTCATCCAAAACTTAAAAGACATGAAAACGATTGTGTCACATTCCACTGTGTTTACCAATTTAAATGTGTGTGTGGTCACACATACATAGGGAGAAGCAACCGTGATCTGATAATCTTTGTCTTCTTATTACATTATCGAAATTTATCAAAGGGACTAATTGCTTTAAATTTCTGTTTGTTTAGTTGAAAGTCAGGGACAAACAATGAATCAGTTTTTATTCTCTTACTTCAAACCATCTAATGAATGGATAGTCGGTTATAAATAACATTAAACTCAAAATAATAAACAAAACTAAACTGCTAAGATAATTGTTATTAAACATATAATAACTATTTATTTTACCTGCATTAATAATAATCCAACAATAAATGCGGAGCCTTGACAATAGCCCACTTCTGGGTCATGAATTGAATACGCTTTGATTACACGGAATAAGCTTTCTTGACCACAACCGTTCTGTGAAAAATATATATGTATGCAAAAAGAAATATAATTGTGAACAGAGACACAGGGAAACCATGACAAACAATGGAAACTATTTTAGGGAAAGTTATTCCACTTAATTCAAAGCTTGTAAAATATTAACATTTAGGTTTATTCCTGGTTATTTCTACATATAAAAGAATAGCATTCGAATAACATAATTAGCACATGATAGATAAATCAGTACTATATCCTTATTGCAACCTTTGACCTAACCACTCCTATGAATCCGCTGTTCATCTTGCTGTGCTAATGAGGTATGGCAACCTAGACCGATGCACATATGTGCCTGGTCCTACGTTGTAGCTGACTGACTGACTGACTGACTGAGATAAATCAGTCTACCACACAGGACTTAAATCTGAAAGTGTATATTCACCTGTTGAAATTATTGAATTTCCAATAAAGGACTTAATTAGTGACTATCCTGTTGATTTGAAGTTCAACATTTTAGCGCCGAATCTCTACACAAGAGTTATTCTTTATATTTACCGCTATAAAAGACGATATTTCTTTACTGATCACTACCTCTTATGTGTTAGACTTTTGCTCTATCTGCAAGGCCATTATGTATGTACTTGTACAAATATGTTAATTCCTTAAGTATGTTGTTTTAGGTTCCAACTAAATAAACTTTCCTTAAAAGATTATAATTCGGAGTGGAAAAAGTTAGAAGGAGAGAAACCGTTGTATCTAGGTATCGAAGTGATACCAAGAGTTCTATCAGTCAGTCAGTAACAACGTAGAACTTCGTACGTACGTATATCAGTTCGAGTTGCTATACCACATTAGCACACAGATACAATTGTCCATTCAAATCCCATAGTGGTAGAGGTAGTAAGAGTATAAGGAGTAATCGGAAACACTAGGGTTTGAAGGTGTTATTCAAGGAATATAATCCAGTGAAATAAATTTGGAAAGGGGAAAAAGAAAGGGACATGAAGAATTCAGAAGATTAGAATTTGGGAGAACACAAAGAGTGGATGCACCTAAGCCATTGCAAACAATTTCGAGCCATGTCATTCAAGGTCTCTAACTATCGGTTGCTATCGTCTCGCGGATCCTAACCAGGTAGTCTACACCTACCAACAAGTCTCAGTCCACTTGTCAGTGACTTGATGGATTTGTGCCATGTTTTGGTCTGGCCGCCCCTAACTTTCTTTCAACCTACTCCCAAGAGTTCTATACTGACCAATAACTATCTACCAAGTTACTTTGGGAAATGTAAGATAAAATTTTGAGGTCGCTGTGATATTTTCAGATTATAACTTATTGATATCACTGAAAATTTAGGATACCTTATTAGCAATACAGTTAGAATTTTAAGTGATTGAATCTAACGAATAATTAATTTATAATGAAAAAAGTAGCGATGACCAGCCAATAACGAAATCAATCAGAATTTTTAGGTTATTGAGGATTAAAATCATTTTACCTAAAGGATCATAATCACTGAACAACTGCCTCATCTTCGTATTGAGGTTTGATGATTAGAAACGATGAAACAGTTGCTGATCAGTAATTTAAAGCCTTAAAACAGAATTCCAGTCAGTCAGTCAGTTAGTCAGCTACAACGTAGGACCAGGCATAGAATTATTCGAAAATATATAGAAATGGAGTGTATGCATGAATGTATTGTTAGCAAAAAATGTCTTAACAATAAACAAATAACCTATGATTAGGATTCTATAGAATGGATATCAGCAAGAAAACAACGAAAATAAGATATTGCCAATGGTTAGACAAACGGAGGTAGAAACAGAAAAATGAAAAGTTGAAAGGAGTATGCACATAAATGAACAGAAAAGAATTCAATGAATGTGGGGAAAAAATGTAATATATCATCAATTGTTTTCAGTTGACAGGTTTTAACTTTGTTCTTTTTTTATTCAGTCAGTCAGTCATCTTCAACGTAGGACCAGGCACATATATGCATCGGTCCAAGTTGTCACACCTCATTAGCACAACAAGATGAACACCGAATTCATAGAAGTACATACTTCAATCGTAGTAGTTTATAAAAGACAGATTGTGTATAATGCAGGAAGAAAGAATTGGTTGGTAGAAAGTAACTTTAATCTCACGGTTTAAGGGAAGACAAAGAATGATGCTATGCTTTGGTTTAGTACACTGATACTAGTTATTTTAGAAGGAGAATTAAGCGATCGAATATGAATTTAGACTAAACGGTATTCCGATTTGTATGGTCATTCGTACTGCAATGAAAATTTAGACAGCCTATGTGGCAGACATGTACACACTGTAACAAGCCGCGCATTATAATTTTATTTGTCTAAATCGTCACATTTTATGTGAAAACAGTGAGGATGCACTTCAATAAGTGGAAAAGCAGTAAAGAGGTGGCATAATAGCTAAAGGATTGAAATTCGGAACACAACGCCTCAGGTTCGAGGCCCACTTCGCCTACCTTGAATCGGGTAACTGGATAGTGTCATTAGTCCTTACACACTGAGGGTTTGAATTATATATAAATACCTAGTGAATGAGTTAATCATATATATCTGTGCATGAATGATAAGTTACTTAATACATGAAAAGTTAGATTAAAAAAATGAATGCATTTCTGTCATTCTTCTCATTGAATTTAGACGAAAATGTAACATGAACAAAACATGGTTATATTGGAAACACCCCTGTCATGGGTAGAATCAAGAACTTTCAAATTCGGAGGAGACTTCTCGGACACGCATTGATGAAAAAGAATACTGTAATCTGAGGAAAGATGTGTCCAGTGATTTCTAGTTTCCAACGGTTATGAACTACACTTTGTCAGTGACAAAATCTACCTTCAACTGACCTCTATAAAATACATAACCACAGACTGCTTTTGTCTAGCTTAATATATTTTATACTTGGAGTTCCTTCATTGGTATTTTTATAATTTGTTAGAAAGATACTTAGAAGTTCCAATGATCAGTTAACTTATCATATATCTACCTTAAATGCCAACGTTAAATTATAACAGAATTATTTGGCACATTGTGAATCTATTCAAATTTGCACGGTGGCTTAGTCAAATACGAAAATCATACATTAAATACATCAATTGTACAACTTCTTTGCGTTTTCCTCTACATACTCCATTATTCCTCTAATTCTGTTGTTATTTTGATTCCTCTCCGATCTCTATTATTATCTATTTGATTTTCTGCTGCCAGGTATTCCACTTCCGATTGCAGCTACACACTACTTATGTCTATCAGCATAAGTAGCATACACCACAATAGTACAATCATTGATACGATTAAAAAATTTAAACGTTCCCCCTTGCTTATAGCATATGACGTTAATATGTTCACTACACAAGATTCGTAAATTATAGAAATTAAATATATGATAAGCCAACTATAAGAAAAGTTTCACTCAGGTGATTAATTTTTAATACCTATGTAACGTCTTGCAGTGGAACCTAAACCAGTCGGCATGAAGTATCAGAGAAGAGAATTCAGGATTATTCGTGAGGACAAGATACGGGACCTACTCAAAACTAATTGAAAACACATCATTTATGATCATTATTCACCGTAAAATTGTATCCCCTGGTGTTACTACATTCGTTGAGCTTAACATCATAAAGTCAACGTAGTCGCATCAAACAATTACTTGTTTCATTCTTAACGAAGTACAAGTACCAACATAATGGCTAGATAAAGTCTGATGTAACATACAAAGAATTCAGCCGAACGAATCTACCATTAATTAAACTGTAACAAATTCGTTTAGATGAAAATAGATGAGAAAATTTGTCTTAATTAAGTAAAAAAAAAATTTCCAGATGAATAGTTTAAAACAATGCGATCATGTAACAATATTGAAAAGAAGATAATATAAAAACTGAAGTAGAAGGAGAACATTAGACAAAATCGATAACATTCTGTAAGTATATTGTGTAAATTTAAAGTGGGCTAAATATAAATGAAGCAAAACAAAGCTCAACCTCATTATTTTTAATTGGTTAATTACAGGTCAATTAAGTTTCCATGTAATGTGAAATTTAATAGCAACAATAGAATGGTAGCATATGTTTTTCAAGGACATAAATTGTATAATTACAATGGAATGAAATGAGAAAATAGTTGGTATATACATTGAAAAATAAAGGAAAGAGCAAACAGGAGTTGGAAGAATTATCTTTCATTTAACACTGAATTAATAATTGGATGGAGGTAGTTGTCAAGATATCCTAAACCTAAAATTCATACTTGTTCTCACTCGTCAGACAGGGCGTACCTGCAGTCTTGAGGGAATTTGCTGTCTTATTTGGATTTGAAACCGTGTTCCATTCGTTGGACAGGACTGTTATCTGGGATAGTCTATTGAAGAGGGGTGTGTCTGAGTTTATTAACATCCTAAAGGCCCTATATACAAACACCTCAGGCAGAGTGAGAGCATACAACCACCTTTCTCCATTGTTCCATTCAAGCAGTGAGGTTAGACAGGGTTGCCTAATCTCACCATTCCTCTTCCACTTTGCCATCGACGACATTCTGGAAACAGCTCTGATGGATGTAAGTAATGGTGGTGTGGATCTGTTGCCTGGAGAAAGACTTCTCGACCTTGAGTATGCGGACGATATTGTCTTACTGTGCGATAGTGCCCAAGGCGTGCAATCCGCACTTGATCAGTTGACAATCAGTGTCCGTAGGTATGGTATGTGCTTTGCACCTTCGAAGTGCAAAGTACTCCTACAAGACTGGCAGGATTCTAATCCTGTACTCACCCTGGATGGTGAGCAGATAGACGTAGTTGAGAAGTTCGTGTATCTGGGTAGCTGCATAAGTGCTGGTGGGGGTGTGAGTGATGAGATCAATGCACGAATAGTGAAAGCCAGAACGGCTTATGCCAATCTGGGCCACCTTTGGCGCCTTCGTGATGTTAGTCTGGCTGTAAAAGGTCGGATCTACAACGCGTCGGTGATAGCAGTTTTGCTCTATGCTTGTGAAACCTGGTCTCTCCGAGTTGAGGACGTCAGACGACTCTCTGTGTTCGATCATCGCTGTCTCCGAAGGATTGCTGACATCCAGTTGCAACACCATATTAGTAATGCAGAGGTTCGGCATCGTGTGTTCGGGCACAGAGACGATAATGCAATTGGTGTCACCATCTTGAAACACCGACTTCGGTGGCTTGGACATGTTCTCCGAATGTCGTCCCAGAGAATTCCACGTCGTGCATTATTTGCCGACTCTGGGACTGGTTGGAAGAAGCGGAGAGGTGGTCAGTGCATGACATGGTGTCGGGGTATGAAAGAAATCTGCAAAGGACTGGCTTCTGTTGGTCCTTCACAACTCCCTGGTTGGGGTCCGAGAGATGGTGCGACACAGTGGCTAGAAACGTTATCAGATATGGCTCAGAATAGAAGCCAGTGGCGATCCTGCTGTAATCTTCTTTTACTTTCTTCATAAAAAGTGGTTGTATCTTCCTTAACTGAAAGATTTCTTCTGATTGTACCTTTCCGTTCCCTCATCATTACTATTATTATTACCACACTACCTTACACTAATATGTTCGTCATTGTTCTTTTATTCTCTTCGATTTCTCGTTGTTTTGTGTGGCGCATACATAATTGGTGCCCTCTTGTAATAATATTTATGTGTTCAAATAAATAATTGATTTTTGTTCCTATGTTTGTGCATAATTTTCCTGATTGGTTGATAAATTGGATCGATTTCATCACCATCTCAAACGACTCACAGTTGGGTGTCAACAAACAGTACGGGTGAAGTACATGTTATCTAGATGGGGAATTGTACTTCGCGGGGTGCCTTATGGTACAGTTTTGGGGACGGTGTTCTTCCTCCTGTATGTAAATGACCTTTCTAGTCTCCTATCACCATCGGTTTATTTACATGCCAACGATGTCAAAACAATGGAAAGTTTCCAGCTTCAAACTGAACTGGAGAAATTGTCTGAATGGTATACAATTTAGCAGTTGCCGATAAATGTTTCCAAGTGCATTATGATGCTTATTGGTCATTAAGATACGGATACAGACGCACAATGACCCAGAAGTTGTCGTTAGTCAAGATTCGAAAACTACTGGACATTGCTGTATTCAATGCGTTAATGTATAAATCTCCTAAGTCAAACTTATACGAAGCCTAATGATGTTACTAGTCAGAGATACAGCGCACTTTAATTGCTGAAAGTGAAGTATGTAAGTACATATCTAAAATATATTAGACAATTCCACAATATACCAACAAAATATTGAATTTAACGACGAAAATAACTCCTACATAAATAATGTGCAATGCTGAAATGGCTGAACCGGATGAAGGATGCAGTAGACGCCCAACTTTGAGATCAAAGGGCTGGATTCCGTAAGGATCGATCGTACACAGACCAAATTGAAACACTACGGATCATCGTCGAACAATCAGTTGAGTGGAACTCGTCACTAGACATCAACTTCATTGATTATGAAAAGGCATTTAACAGTGTAGATAAGAGGACGTTATGGAGACTTCTTCGACACTACGGAGTTCCTGAGAAGATTGTTAATATTATCCGGAACTCATACGACAGACTACAGTGCAAGGTCGTGCTTGGAGGACAGCTGACAGATGCACTCCTAGTAAAGACCGGAGTCAGACAAGGCTGTCTACTCTCTCCCTTCCTCTTTCTTCTGGTGGTCAACTGGATTATGAAGACCTCGACATCTGAGGGAAAACACGGAATACAATGGACGGCTCAGAACCGTTTAGATGATTTGGACTTCGCATATGACCTAGTCCTCCTATCCGATACACACGGAAAAATGCAGATGAAAACAACTCGTGTAGCAGCAGCCTCTACATCAGTAGGCCTCAACATATACAAGGAGAAAACCAAGGTCCTCAAGTGCAACACGGAGAACAGCAATCCAATTACTCTTGATGGCGAAACTCTGGAAGATGTAGAATCCTTCACATACCTGGGAAGCATCATCAATGAACAAGGGGGATCAGTGCAGACGTAAAGGCAAATTAAGGGTCGCATTCCTACAATCGAACGAACATATGGAACTCAAAACAACTTTCAACCAATATCAAAGTCACAATCTTCAATACGAACGTCAAGGCAGTTCTACTGTATGGAGCTGAAACTTGGAGAACTACAACAACCACCATCAAGAAAGTACAAGTATTTATAAATAGTTGTCTACGCAAGATACTCAACATCCATTGGCCGGATACCATCAGCAATAGCCTTCTGTGGGAGAGAACAAACCAGCTTACAGTTGAAGAAGAAATTAGGAAAAGACGATAGCAATGGATAGGACATACATTACGCAAATTGTCAAACTGCATCACGAGGCAAGCCCTAACTTGGAATCCTGAAGGGAAGCGGAAAAGAGGAAGGCCAAAGAACACATTACGTCGGATAATAGAAGCAGATATGAACAGGATGAATAACAACTGGAGTTGAAAAGGATTGCTCAGGACAGAGTTGGATGGAGAATGTTGGTGAGCGGCCTATGCTCCTTGACGAGGAGTAACAGGCGTAAGTAAGTAAGTAATGCTGAAATGAAATAGATCACTTTCTTTTCAAATAAAGATATTTAAATTATAAGTGAAATAACTCACTTCATCTTTAAATAAATCATGTTTAGGAAATGTACGTGCAATATCACGTCGGATAGCTTTTTCAACCGGTGAATTAACTAACAAATAATTATGATAATGTTTTTTAACAGCTGAATCATAAGCTCCACAGTATAGTTGCCAAATTAATGGACGAAATTCATCAGGAACACCTTTTTTAATAAGATCCTAACAAAATAAATAAATAAACTATATTTTTCCAACACATCAACAATTTGATTAAAATTACGTAAACATGGATAACACATTAAAATGTCATCTGAATGAGCGACAGACTTAATCAAATTTCAGGTTAATTCACGTCGATGACTGATATCGTCATAATGAAGTATTTAAAAGGCGAAAGAGGATTAGATAAATGTTTTCTTCGAGCTTAAAATATCTAAATAGCACACACTGGCGACAAGAGATCTGATAATCATGAGTTTAATCTTATATGGAGTGAGAGTTATGAGTGAGTAAAAGTTGGAATCCTGAATGCAAAACGAAAAGAGGTAGACGAAACGCATTGCTCTGGGAATCAGAGGCAGACGTCAAAAGAATAAATAGCACTTGGTAACAGCTGAGGAGAGCCCAGAACAAAGTTGATCGGAGACCTATGCTCCACAGGTGTAAGTAAGTATATCCCCATTTTTTGACATTAGTACAGAAACGGTATTGTTGGACTATGTTTCGTAATACAGTCACTAAATTTTAGCACTCAACTTTAACCACAAGAACTACCGTATAAACATCTGTTACAAACACCCAAGAAATGTCTGCCGCTTCTATAACCTAAAATACGTGAATATTCATGTACATTTCCTGGCTAAATATCTGCGGAACTGACTGAGTTAACAGACAGAAACATTGTCTCAGTCAGCGACCATATCACGTTGGAGACAAGCTCACATTCAGTCACCGAAAGCATGATGACTAAGTGGTTAAGGCAATTGACTTCCGACAACCAATTCTAAACCCTACTCCGTCTATCTCGGTTAGAGTGGTAACCGAGTCGTATCACTTTGTACCTCAAAAAAACAGTGTGACTGGGAGTTGAGTACATTAACCTATATTTGACTGATAAAATCTCAATAATGAATAATTTTAGGGGCACTTCTGACACAAAAATATCTAGTTGCTTTAAAACCATTCAGAACAATTATAATGACTCATCACAACGCATTAAAGATGACGGTGAATAAGAATTTGAAAACATCTTTCTTAGGAAAAAATGTTGTTTCTAACAACCTACAGAAACATAGGATTTCTTTTTCGAACATTGATCCCAATTATTTATTACGTAGTCCCACTGTTCACGAATAGAACTGCTAATTGGTGCTCCAGCAGTCCAACCAATCATTAAAGGAATCGAGACTCCAGAAGTGTTACTCGATTTCGACGACCCATGTGTTGCATGACCATTAAGCTGCAGCGAAGATGTTCCATTGCCTAATATAAGTGGACAAAACAAATACTATAATTTAAGTCACACCGTTTATATAGAGTAAATCAGAAAATACTTTAACTCAGAAAGAAATTACAGATTTGTAGACTAAGTTGATGTCCTCTACCTCCTACAACTACATATACATATACTTATGCCGCAGACACTATTATACGATTGAACCTGTAGTAACCTCACTGAACTTCCCTTGATTTTTTTAATTAGGTGTTGCGTGTTAAGGAGCACCATCAAGATTACTAAAACTTGCCATTGTTGGTCTTTTGTATGTGATTGTGTCAGGTTTTCAAAACTCATGGCAGAATATCACATGTAATGGTAATATTCTAAGTGATGAAGGTTATCTAAAACTATTATATCTAGACAGCAACAATCAGTTCTAAAGTTGTGAATAACTCACAATGTAACGGGAATAAAACGCTGGAAACTCCTTTACAGAATTTCACTGGACAGTATTGTCATTTATTTGTTTCTTTTCCCTATCTTGTATTTTAACCTTTATCTAGGTCTCGTTTTAACCACACTTTACATTCTTAAGTTTTCATTGCCGTGAACTTTATTTGATCTTAATTGAAGATTTACTTTTGATTGTTTAATTAACTGTTTCATTTGATAATAAGGTCGTGTTTGACTGAACTAAGGGTCACGGCGCGGTTCAGTGTGACTGTTAACCTTTGACTGCCAGCTTGGAAAGGTTACTGGAATCCTCGCAGATAGATATCTGATTCCATTTTTTGAGAATATATTTACTGATTCTCAGGTATAGAACACCTATTTGTTGACTATTCCTTTTGTTGTTTAGGACGTTAGTTTATGTTAGAAAAAGTCTTCATTGTTTAGCACAGGCTGCACCTTTTGATGCATTTTGTACTTTTGATGCAATGTGTTTTCTTCTTCAAATTAGAATCGCTAAAATTGAACACAGAATTTGTTTCGATATAATTTAATACGAATCACTCAAAAACGCTTCGTACGCTTAACATAAGAACGTAGTCTGAACTAATCGAATAAACTTTGGTTTGCTAGTTCTGCGTTCAAACTGAATATTGGTATTTCGGTCATTACACATAGTGAAAAAGATAATGTTATAAAACCATAAAAACAATGAAGGTACATTATATTTAAACTTCTATGAATGATAGACATTTCGTATAATGACACTATTCTTTCTGTCAGGTTTAGTTTATTTTCTTGGCGGTTAATCTTCTGCTTTTGTAATATCCGTTGACAACGTAGTTTACATGGTGTCAAAGTTTTAAGTCGGTAACTATTTCGAATGAAGTTTCAAGATATTACTGGTTAAGTATGTGATTGGCTTAAATCTTAAAATATCGAAACTTTCGTTTGAATTATATGAAATGTCTTCAACATTTAAACTAGGACACTAAAAATTGAAATTTTAGGGAAACCATGAATCGTATATGAGAAATGCTGATGTAAACCTTTAAAGAGGAAGTGAAAGCCAGTTAACAATAGGGCAAATTTCAAACAAATGTGGTAGTTAAAAAATGATGTGAAATGGAATAAACACTAGATTCTTCAGTAACGCTCTTACTTCGTGTATCATCCTGCCCAGATCCAGTGGAAATGCTACTTGATAAAGAACCTTCTCGTCGACGAGTATGTAAAGATGGAACGACTTTAGCATCTGAAAAAAGAGCTCTGAGGACTTAGAAACAATTATTGATCTTAAACTAATACCGATTTTTTTCCTCAAGTTTGGCTAGAAGTTCCAGTTCAGATTGTCTTTTGCACTCCATTATATTATTGGAAACACCTGATCAACATCTGTAAAAGGTTCGATATATTTGTCGACAGAATTTCAGTCGGCAACTCCAGTGAAATAAAGAATAATAGTAACTTTGAGTATTTGTAGAAGAGATCTTTCAATTGTACAAGCGTCTCAAACTTTGATCACTGAACACGATTGCAAGGAGTCAACGAAAAAAGAGTTAATTCTTCGATTCAGCCACTTGTCCATATCTTCGTGTCAAATTGTGCTTTATAAGAGAATAAAAAGAACTCTGAGGATATTGAAAAAGTACAAATAATTAGTTACATGGTAGAAATAAATGTTATAAACAAATTGTGTACGTTATGAGTGAAATCACAAGAAATACGTGACTGGCAGGAATGAAAAACTTAAGTGTGTTTAACTATTTTTTATCAAATGTTATTGTTAAATCCTAGTGAAGATTAAGTCACGAGTAACGTCTGAGTCAGTCAGTCAGTCAGTCAGCTACAACGTAGGACCAGGCACATATGTGCATCGGTCCAGGTTGCCATACCGCATCAGCACAACAAGATGAACACCGGATTCATAGCAGTGGTTAGGTCAAAGGTAGTAATATATAAGAGAAAGATTGCATATAGAGATATAGTACAAGAAGAAAGAATTGGTTCGTAGAAAGAAAGATATGAAGCGATTTTAATCTCTTAGTTTAAGGGAAGACAGGGAGTGTATTCACCGACGCCATTGTGATCGATTCTGAGCCATGTCACCAAGAGTCTACAACCATTGGTTACGATAGTCACGCGAACCCCAACCAAGTAGTCTGCATCTACCAACATGGCTCAGACTAGAAGTTAGTGACTTCGAGCACTGATGCCACGTTTTGGTTTGGCCGCTCCTAACTTTCTTCCAACCGTCTCCAACACTAGTCAGCATTACGCATCGTGGTAATCAGTGTTCAGGCATACGTAACACGTGGCCCAACCATCTCAGTCGATGAAGATTCATAACCTCATCAACTGATTTACCATCATTCCCTAATACCCTGCGTCTAACCTCACTATTACTTACCCGGTGATCCCAGCAGACGCAAGCAATATTTCTAAGACATCTGTGGTCAAATACTAATAGCTTACGAGTGTCTTCTACTCTTAATGGCCATGTTTCGCTGCCGTAAATTAAAACAGAACGGACTGCCGCGCAGTATACTCGTCCTTTTATTGATAGACGGACACCTCGCCTTCGCCATAGGTGACGCAAGTTGGCAAAAGCCAATCGAGCTTTTCGAATCCGTGCTGAGATTTCGTCCGATACCAACCCATTAGGGCTGATCAGACTTCCAACATAAGTGAAGTTGTCAACGCGTTCGACTACTTCACTCCCTATCCTTAGTTTAGGTGTTGACACAGGCCAGTCCTGAAGCAATAACTTGGGTCTATAGGGGGAAAGCATCCCAAACATTCTGGCATTGTCGCTTAGTGCTACTGAAAAACTGCACTTTATCAGCGTCTTCACCAAACAGAACTATATCATCTGCGTATTCTAAGTCGATAAGTGGATCTCCTGGAAGAAGATCAATACCCGAGAACTCAGTCGATGAGAATGTTATTTCCACCAGTAGGTCTGTGATGAAGTTAAGCAGAAATGGAGAAAGTGGACAGCCTTGACGGACACCACTTGCGGTTGCAAAAGTAGATGACGGTTCGCCATAAGCTCTGACTCGACTAGTAGTGTTAGAGTGAAGGGCCTTTACAAGGTTTATGTACTTCTGGGGTACGCCTTTTGATGACAGACACTGCCACAGAATCTCGCGATCTACAGAGTCAAATGCTGCTTTTAAGTCGAGAAAGACCACCATTGTCGGACGCCGATAAGTATGCCTGTGTTCTAGAACCTGACGAATGGCGACCAGGTCTGAAGCCAGCTTGGTTCTCTCGTGTTTGCAGTTCACGAGTCTTAGTTAGGCGTCTGATAATTATCGAGGCTAGTATTTTAGATACTATATTAGTTAAACTAATCCCTCTATGGTTGTCACAGGATGATTTCGACCCTCTCTTATATATTGGGACGATAAGTGATTGTGACCAGTTAGATGGAATAACGTCTAACCCCCAGATCTTAGCTAAAATATTAATCAACCTAATCGCTAAAATTGGACCACCATCCTTAAAGACCTCTGGAGCCAATCCATCTGGACCAACTGCCCTTCCTTGTTTCAGATTAACTATAGCCTTTTGAACTTCAGCAAGAGTTGGGGAACCTACTTCAATGTTCCATTCACACTGTCTGGGAATGGAGGGTAGTTGTAGAGTAGCTGAAGGCCAGCTGAACTGTTCTCTGAAATGTCCCGCCCATCGTTCTAAACGCCTGGACTGGGAGCAGATGAGTGTATCGTCTTTTTCCGATATAATCTCACTTACACTTGACTTAATAATTCCAGTTTCTTTTATTAGTCTGTAAAGCTGTCTTGTGTTCCCTATAGTCGCCGCCTTTTCCATCTCTTTTGCTTTCGTTGCCCACCACTGCTCATGGTCGTTTCTTAGACTTTTTCTTAACCTAGATCTGATTTGTTGTCGCTCTTCCTCATGTTCGGAACCTGGTGGGACGAGTTTGCGAGAATCCATCAGTGTGATAGACTTTGAAGAAATCCACTGGTTCTTTGTAACCCTGTGGTCTAAGTCACTAATAGATGTCACTGCTGTTTCCACAGCTGATTGTATGCCCTTCCAAGCAACATCTGGGTCAGCCTCGTCTTCACAACTACCTAAGTGTGACCTCAGTTGTTCCTGGAACCTACTTTTGGTTTTCTCGTTACTCAATTCAGGTTCTAACGGGTCTTTTTACTGTGGCTTTTTTGCGTCCAGTGAGGCGCAAGCAGATGCGTGCCCGTATTAGGGCGTGGTCGGAGTCCAATCAGGTACTCCAGAATGAGCGACAATCTTGTACCGACCCTCTCCAACGATGACTGACGGCAATATGGTCTATTTGAGTCCATCATTGGTTTGGTGTAGGGGGTCGCCATGTTAGACGATATCTCTCCTTATGCTTAAAATTTGTGTTTGCTAAAAATAAACGATTGTCTGAGCACAGTTGCAGCAGACGATCACCATTATCTGTCCGTTGTGCCGGAATACTAAAATACCCACATAAATGCCTTTCTGTTTGGTTTAAGCTACCTATCTGAGCATTAAAGTCACCCCCTATGAGTACTATGACTGGGCGTTTAGCTTTCTGAAGAAGTTCGGACAGCTTTCTGTAAAATTCATCTTTCACATCATCTGAGCTGCAGTTAGTGGGAGCGTAGGCAGAAACGACGAAAAGGCAACGACGTGTGTCCCTATCCTTCCGAGTTCTTACGGAGCCGTTTAGCCGAACAGCACATAGACGACTGTCGACCTCACCTCGGCAAAACGGAGAGCCAACGAGATACACCCTACGTGTATCTGGTGACCCGATGGCCAGTTTTCGTGGACTGGCAGGTGTAGGCATAGCACTAAGTATGAGGGCGAAACAAGCACTGAGACTTATTAATGAACTAATATTATTTATATATTCTCATGGTATAAATATTCGGGAACTAGATTATGTATATCTATATTCCCCTTGTTATAAGCCATATTTTGACCTATAATTTATTATTGTACGATTCACGGTTCTTAAGCTATGTTCAGTTTATTAACTACTGCCTCCCACGTTCACAGCCACTTTTTGGCTTTATTGTGTACAAATGTTATTTCCTATTTTATGGTGCGTTGCGGTCTGTTTGGTTGATATATAAACCCAGTATGTCTGAAATAAATGACTCGATTCGATTCGCATAGTGGAAGCTGATAATGGTGTTCTGGACTCAAGTGGACGGGCTAGGCGGGCATAGGACCAATAAGGACGTTAGGCTGCTCATACCGGTCGAACGTCATTGGTTTGGCACAGTACTAAGATTGTATAAGTCGTATTTTGATTGGTGGATAAATCACGTGGTAAAAAGCCGGACATAAAGTCATAACAGTTATTTTTTGAGATGTAATTACACTTTATCAGGAAAAAACCATTGACTGTTGAAGCAAATGGTCGTTTGTGGCAGTTCTTGCATAGTAACAAGTTTTCTGGGACGTGATGTCGTCAAGTAGAACTAATTGCAGCCACATTCTGTAAGTGTCATTCAAATTCCCTTTGGCGGATAAAACTTACGATAACTGGTATTTATAAAACTTTTGTAATATCAGAAAGTCAATAGTCAAGCACGTAGATACGGTTGAGAGGAGAATCAACTCCATGACCAGACCAAGATGTCTCCGAATTCAAATAAATTTCTGTCCCAAATATCCTCGTAGTTAATAGTTAATCAGATGTAACTTTCGAAAATCCTTATGTTATTTCTATGATAGAGGATGAGAACTGTTACTTAAATAAGACTTATAAAGAACCAACTGTATATCGATTCTAGCTAGTAAGATATGTATGAAAATGAATAGTGAAGAGCACTGGAAACTGCACTTTTTCATAGTGTACAACGAGAGAGAGGATTGGAAGTCGAGTATTCCGAGGAAAACCACAGATATTTATTTTGGAAGACATATTAGATAAAAATTAGCCACATAAAAATGTTATTTAGTGACTTTGTAACTGGTCAAATTTTCATTTACCGTACTGTGATCAATAGATCAGCTTTCAATGACCTTAGATAAACCATCAAAATATCGTCAATGGTTGACCAAGAAAGAGCATTTCTATAATTTTAAAGTTGAATTTTTTATGAACAAATAGTTGTTAGAACATAGAGATCACTTTCTTTTTCTTGGACCGTTATTTCAACAAATTTTTTATTTTATCTAAACAGACAGTGAAAGTTTACACGACAATAAACAAGAGACAGCATAATCCCATGATTTTACAAATTTGTACAGGATTATTAATTTACGTAACATTCAGATAGCAAATAAAATCTGATCCAGTGCACCATATTTTTACAAACACAATCTTAAACACCGCAATTACTATGACAAAAGCTTGTGATTCACTCTACAGACA